GTAATATTTGGGGTCACAAGTTTTTGCCATGGATATTTTGTGGGTCAGAAGATAAAAAATTGGGAACCACTGATTTAAAAGAAGAAAAAAGAACTGGAAAGGAATATGCAGACAAGCAAAACAGACCATAAAGCAGCAACCATGTTTAGCTCAGACATATATAGATTTGCCCTGATTTTTCTTTTAAAAAATAAATAAATAAAAATAAAAATCAGCTTCAAAAGGAATCTTGCAAATATTTCTCAAAAACCCATAAGATGTTTATTGGTTGCAGTGCATGTTTGAGTTGTGTCCAAATGACTTTTTATTACATCACAGATGACAGCATCAGTAGAGACCGGATAGTTTTTGATTAATTGATTATTTTGATATCATTTTCCTGATGTATCATCCGTCTAATCAAAGACTTATGAAGTGATTATGAAATGATGCCTGACACTGTTAAAGGTAATGGAAAACGAGTGGAGAGCAGCGATGGATGAGTTAAGTAAAACAATAAGGATTTATTGCTTTTTAGGAGAGGAATAATTGGAGCGAAGCAGATGAACGGGCTGAGTGGTTTGTGGCAGAGTGATGGACAGAGAGYGGCGTTAGGGCTGGGTTCTTAAAATGCATGAAGTTTGTTCAAGAAAAATAAAAAAAGAGAATAATAAAACATAACGCTACTAGAGTTGGCCCCATGTTCCCAGCTGGTGRCAAATAAAAAGCAAACAGTGAGCAGAATACAGACCAGCAGGAATACTTCAGCTTGTTGAGCTGATGAGTCACATGTGGAAGGTGGAATCACCACAGACTGATACACAACAGGGTGCGAAACCACTGAGCACAACGATACACCGCCACATGTTTTAGAGCTCTAAACCACAGTCTAAAAACACCTTCTTAAAGTATTGCATACCTCACTGATTTAAAAAGTAATTGGTAACACTTCATAATAACTACACYTTAACCTCAATCATTGAAAAATTAATCTTGAAATCATCATTAATTAAGGATGATTAATAAGTTATAAATTAACATGTTCATTGATGCTTCACCCATAAAGGTTAATCACTTCCAAACTCATTGTTAATGCATGCGTAATAATTTACAAATTATCTATTCTATGTGTGCATTAATGCTCATAAATGTACTTACACACCATGTGTTAGATGTGTTTTAATGGTTAGAAAACAGTTGAATTGACTATGAGTTTGGTGTTCAGAGTTTTGTGGTTAACAAGCTTAGTTTTCATTTTAGAAGAGTTCACAAAAAGACAACTAACTGCCTTAATTATTGATGTGCTGCAGGATTAGTAGATAGTAAGTTCAAACATTCTCTAAACATTAAAACATGCCTACCACATGGTGTGAAAGGACATTTATTTGACAATTTAAATGCATGTACAACATTTATAGAAAAAAATAATTCATGAGTTATTAATCATGAATAAACAATGAATAGGTTAGTTTTGCAAGTAATTTATACCCTTTATGAGAAAAACATCAATAGATGTGTTAATTTATGGTTTATTAAACATGAATCATCCTTAATTTATGATGTTTTCAACCATTTACTAATGATTAGGTAAGGCTAAGTGCTGCAGGTAATTTTGCAACAACAGTCTATATAAGATTTCTATATATAATATTACATTTAAAACTATTTTTAGGAAAGCTTCAAGGAGTGTTCTGCAGTAATATATGTCTGTTTGATGGACAWGAATGAGCAAAGTTGAAGAAACTCCCTAGAGTCTCAATGAAAAAAAAAAAGATAGGAAAAAAAGAAATAAAGTAAATGTTGTTTTGGTGTAATGGGAGTGTAGTTATGTATTTTTGTCTGATTCCTGTTTGTGTTTGTWAGCCTCACTCCTTCAATTCTCTCTCATTGTTTTCCTTCTACCTTTCCCCTTCCTCAGTGCTTACACTGCATCTGTCTCGCTGCATTATCTCGCCCTGTCCTCATCTATCACTGTGTCCCACACCTACTTCTTTTTTCTAAACTGAGGACTCCCTTGGGTCAAAAGACTGTACAGTAAACCCCATCCTTACACAGCAAAACCCTTTAAATTAAACATAAGAATTATCCTTTTTTTTATTTCAGACGTAGAGCAATTATATGGTAACTGACAATGTTGATATAAGTGATCAGTTGATTAATCAACATAAGAAATCAAATTTGATAAGTGATCAGTTGATTAATCAANTAAGAAATCAAATTTGATAAGTGATCAGTTGATTAATCAACATAAGAAATCAAATTTGATCCATTCACCATTTTTACTTGCTGAATTAGCAGCTTTTTGTAGAGACCACCACACACATCTATGTTGTTTTTATTGCTGCCGTTGTTTTAAAGCTCTACATATTCCCCACTGTACCCCAACCTTGACATTAAAATGAGTAACTCTGCATACATTTGCCTCCAGTAACTTCTACTGTCAGTTCACCGGCTCGACAAACTGACAGAGTATCGGACCAACGTGTTTTACAGAGCCGGTACCTGCTGCTGTATCATCAATTATTCTGGAAGGTTAATGCTGAATAAAATAATAGGTGCAAGTAGAAGAATGTGGTGCAGATGATGAAAGAAGGTACCGGTACAAATTAAATGGCAAAAATTGTAATCAAGGCAAATGAATAGCTTTTTTTAGATGACAGCTTCCCAAACAAAACACCCCTGCATATGTCAACTTTAAATAACTGACTTTTGTTCAGAACAGAAAATGTGAATCTGAGTCAGACATTAGAAGCAAAACAAAATAACTTTAAATGATATTTTCAAAATGTCCACATATATCATTTTAAGCAAGTTCGTTGTTTTGTTTGCAGATTGTTTTTCTTTTCCATATGATAAAATGTTTAAATCAAACAGCTCTGATGCTTTAAGTCTAACTTGTGTGTTTTTGTTTGTGTGAATACCTTTCGATCCCTGCTTAACAGAACATTGAATTAGGGCTGTAGGTTGCAAAGATCATTTCTGATGGATGGTTCTTCATTAACAGAGACCCACCTAGAGGCTTTAATCAGGATTCTTTAATAGAAGCATTCACTATGCTCAGGTTTCTACAGAGTACTGCATACCATTTATTTATTTATTTTTTCACAGCAAGTCCTTGTGGAGATGGTGGCAAAAATCAAGAATATGAAAGTCTCAAAACAAGATAAAAAGTATCAGCAATTACATCACAAACAGAATAGAATAGCAATCAAGAAAACAAAATATATAAGGAACTAGATGCTGCATAGCGGTAACAATGACCCCCGTACGCACAAATGCACCAGAACTCAGGTCTTTATAAATAAATGAAAATCATAAAAGCCATGCCACTAGATGCATCCCAAAATTGTAG